ACGACAACGGACACCTTAACCACTGCATGTTGATGTGCTAATTTACATGATACATATGACGAAGTACATAAGCAATAATATTTATTATTTCTTTTATTATAAACTAGCAGAACCCGCGGCTTCGCTCGCGCTAAAACTACAAAAAATCTCTAAAATGGTAGGATTCATACAAACTTCTATCCGCTATTTTAGCCCCATATGGGATGAATTTCGGAAAATGCTTAAACCTTAATTAATTGTATTAAAGAGCATTTATACCAAGTTTCAAGTAATTCTGATCATGAATTTTTTTTTGGATTGTATTGATTTAAGAAAGACAAACAAACAAAAACACTTTCACATTTATAAAATTAGTATGGATGCAAATGTAAGGCAGTAGTAGCCCAGTGGTAACGCGCTGGCTTGGGAAAACGAGTGAAGCGGGTTCAAATCCCGGGTATCGGACCTTTAGATATTTTCATACGCGAATCATTTACAATATGATTACCACTTTTCTTACGGTGAAAGATTACATCATAAGAAAACCTGCATGTCTGAGAAAATCTAGCAAGTTTCTGAATGATATGTGAAGTCCACCAATCCGCAGCTAGCTGGTGGTTTATCTCCTGATCCCCCTCGTGTTGAAGAGAGGCCCGTGCCCAGCAGTGGAAATGCTGTTTGACCTTGTTTGAGATTTTATTACATAACGATAGTTTATGGGGCGGATGGAGGATAGATTTTTCAAGCCCATTATACATACCTCAGTATACTACATATAGTATGTATATGTACGTCGGTAAGTCTGTACAGATATTTTTCAGTTTTTTGTGTATAGTATGTTTTTGTTAGTGGTTACTCGTCAGAAGTTTTCATTTTGGTATATCAAGTAGCGCTAACCATTCAAAAAAGTTAATAAGAGACGAGGTATATTTTGGACCTGTTTCCTGGAATGAAGCAAGGGGTTTTAGCAAGTAAATACACTTGATTGTTAATAATGTCTTAAAAGATTATCTCCAAAGTTTGCAGTTTTTAACATTTGTGGTCACTGTGCTCTTTTGCAGGTATAAATGTAACATAATATAAGCTTCCTTATGATATTATAGATTTTTATACTTATCCTATTTTCATTTTGGACCAATAATAAAACCCATAAAAAGTTCTTCATATAATATGTACTTCTATTTATAGCATACTAATGGGTAGTAACACTGTATCCAACATAAAAGCAACCAGGTCAAGTGTGTGCCGAGCAAATACTTAACTTGACTCTACTAGTTTTATTTGTGATGCGGGGATTCGACAGGCATTCATTTGTATTATTTGGTTTGACGTTTTATATGATCCTAGGCAAGATCGTGCGGTATAAATCCAGCGGTTTAGATAATCACTGAAGAGTAAAAATCTAAAAAATATATCATTAAAGTAATTTTTACATACTTTTTTATGTTTATATTTCTCCAAGATTGTAGAATTACATTTTGTTTTTGCCTCCTGGTTATAAAATCTAAGATCTTTTTAGGGGCTTTTGGAACCACGAACCATGTATCAGAAATATCCTTTTTTTTATGATCCCACTAAAATCGTAGCCTTAACGGTAATGGCCAAGTCGAGAAAAATTGGACTTTGCGATATTCCATAAAACTCCTGCTAACGGTTACGTTAGCAACTTAATGAAAAAAAGGAAAACAAAACGAACACTTAAAATCTTATTCAATTTTTAACGATAGCTACAATATAATAAGTTAAAATACGTAAGACCTCCTTTTTCAACAAATGTCAATATACTAATAAAGTATAGTAAACTAAAGATGATGAATAACAAAATAAATTATAACATTTAAGCATCTTTTTTATTTCTCAAGTGACCTGATAAGCATGTGTGATAAACAACAGTTTTGTATATATTTAGTGTAAACGGGCTTTTTACACTCAAACTATAGATTACAATAATTCAAACCTTAATCAATTAGATACGTCTGATATTCTAACAATAATACTCGAACTTGACCATTCCTAAGCGCCCAGAAAAATTTGGATATTCTTACAATAAGACTCGAACTTGACCATTCCTAAGGGCGTGAAATTTGAGCCCAAGAAAAATTTGTAAATGTATTATTCTATAGCTGAATTTCAAGGATCATCCTATGCGATCTGATATCCCTTCAAACCCAATGATCTGGCTTTTGAGTTTTGACTTTATCAGAAAGCCTACTCCTCTTTGTCCAGCAGCTTTGCCTTTGTAGTAGGTACATAATGTAGTGCCTTTTCTCTTTTATTTCTTCGTTTATTCTATTTCTGTAGCGGCAACACTGCAGCTGTCAATGTCAGCCACTAACAGTAAGTTTTGTAAGCACAATTTATTCTATCCGTGTTTTTTTTACTTTCGTGTCGTCTGTCTTCTCCATTCTACGTGACATTGGCGAAGTAATCTGTGCTCAACTGACACGCTTTGAAGCTATTAACAAGATGATTCGCCAAATTTGCAACGGTTAGTGGTATTTTAAATCATTATTGTAATTAATCTCATTACTTGCTTTTTTTTAAATAGAGTAGGTATTATGCTGCAATATAACCGGAGGTTCCAGTCTCCCCGTGGTTCTTTCGATTTCGCCGTGCTGACCGCAAAACCAACTTAATTATTTGTAGGCTCCGTCTAGGCAATGCGTGTACTCCGGTACATTAGAAATAGCTCTATCTACGAATATGGCTTAGATGAGAGTTCGACTGATCATATTATATTCAATTGACCCAAATTGAAATTTTCCCTATATGACATAAATCCTCCTCAAGTTCACCACCCAGATAACACCAAATGTTTATTAGTGTTTAGCCCATTTATTGAATGAAATGAAATTAGACATTATTCAATTAGTTTTATTATAAGCACTTTTGAATCGTCGATTTAATTTAAAGAGCGTCAGTGTAGTCAGTCCCTGAGAAAGCTACCAGCGGCTCGAAAAGCAGTTGGCTGACATTCCCCCGCTGCATGGCAATCTTGTTATTCTGGAAGAAAAGCGAGCCAACTCTCTTATCACTTGTAGCAGTGATAAGACGAAGCGTTCAACTAAGTAAGCCAAGGGTCTTCATATAAAAATAGTATTACGTCGACTCTTACATTCATGACACGTGTATAACTGAAACTACCTTTATAGTTGACCTGTACTTTTAAACTTCTGGAGCTGGTGCCGTCTGGAACTTCATTTCAATTGTTTTTTTTCGTGGCTTCTAGGAGAACCAGTTGGGCGTCTGGAGATTTTAGACCAGACTCTGTCCGTCGATGACTGTTCTATGTAAGCAACGTAACGTACCAGGATAAGTAAAGTAGTATTCTCCAGACCATCAATTTAGATTTCGCCGACTTCGAAAAGTAGATGTTATGCAATATCTTTGCCAATTGAGAAGCATATTCGTATTATTTTAATGAATTGGAATACCTAAAATGTGGTTTCATATAAATTTCAAATACAAATTCTACGCCTGAGGTCAAATTTGTTACTTTTTAGTGATTTTGAAGTCGGTGCATATTTTTATTAATAATATTATAATTAATTCCATCGATTTGTTGTTCCCAGCTACGTGAAAGAGGGACTTACTAACAAATAAATGGAAACGCTCTTAGGTTAGTCTAAATGGGACAAAATATGATACCATTATCTACAACGACTAGTATTCATTATTTCAATATGCATATTGACTACATGTTTGGTTCAGTTTGTAGTGATCCTACTTACTGTGCCAGCGGTCAAGGGTTTGAGTCCTGCTGAGAGCATTCATTTGCGTGATGAGCACGAATGTTTGTACTCCAGTCATGGGTGTTCATATTTATAATATGTATGTATTTAAAGTTGTATAATTATGTGTAGTATTAACTATTTGGTATCCATAACACAAGCCTCGTAGCTTACCATGGAACTAGAAGGTGCTGTGTGCCAATGTACCAACATATTCGTATATTGTCGCTACGGACAATACGTCGTTCACAGAATGACTTGTCGTGAATATGTCTATCACTAGGGCAAGTTTGTGAAGAAAAAAGTGATACAATATTGCTCTTAATTTAGACTGAAATATGCATTACACTAAACATATTTCCGCTAGTGCATATATAAATTTATGACGACGAAGTGTAAACAGTCCGTGACCGCTTTCGCAGAATGAGCTATTTCAGGTTGGGCAGAATCGATACTCCATTTTGCGATGGAACGTACCACGTAACCACTCTCAAATAAAACCAAATAATCTTGATTGAACTTCTTTTATAGTATATACTTTGAGTTTTATGGCCGAATTCCCTTTGGTGTTGAAAGTTTAAAATGTTAGTGTTACCATTTTTTTGGTAATTGTTGTCTTGTATGATTGAGTATACAAAAAGCATATTTATCTCGCTTTATTCAAAGAAACTAGATACTTACCCTCGCCCCGCTCGGGTTCGTCCCTAGTTACGTTTTAACGTTTATTATAGATTTCTCATAGATGAGATATTTTCCAGCAGTAAAAAGTATCCTGTATGTCGATCCGGATAACCAGCTATCATCATACCAAATGTCATCAAAATCTGTCCAGTTGTTTTCTCGTGATGCGTTCCTAGACAGACGGACAGACAAAAATTCTAAAAACTATAGATTCGGCCTCTGTATCGACAATAACGACTATTTCAATAAGATAGTCCAAAAAATATTTAATGTATAGATTCGACTCAGTTAGAATTTTATTATATGTATAGATAAAGCTTCTAAGATAGTGAGAAGTTATTTGCGTAAAGATTAGACTTAAGAGTCATCGCTTGTCACAGTTAAGTTTTTTATTGTTACAGTTCTAAAATTTGAGATTAAAACTTCTTCTGTCCGTTTCCCATACTTTAAATCAAGTTTAGGGCCTGTAATTTCGATAAATCCTTGTTTTTTTTGTCTTCCTTTTTTCTTAAAAATTGGAAAAAAGTGTTGAACATGACATCGATTTTTATACTTAGAAGTATAACAAAAATAAGAAAGCAACTGTGATTGTATATTTTTGCATTTCAGGCGTCATCGGGCTGATATACCTAGTTATGTACATCTGCATCATCATCTTCTTCTCAATATGTATGTGCGGGTTGCTCTCCGCCATGGATGAGAGGATACCATACTTCACGCTCGCCGAATCTATAATTGGTATGTTTAAACTAATAGTTTCTGAGAAAAAGCATATAATACAATTCTTTACTTAGCACCTTTAATTATTTATATCTTTGAATATATAATAATGTAAACACACACACACACACATATACATATATATATATATATATATATATATATATATATATATATATATGTGTGTGTGTATATGTGTGTTTCTTTGAATACTGCTTCATGTACACGTTCATCAGAAAAATATTAATAATATTGATTAACACAATATGTTAAGTTATATTAACAAAATATTATGGAAAAGGTTAAACTAATATATAATACTAGCCCACGACATCGTCCGTCTAAATTAGCCTTTTTTAATAATAATATTTATGTGCATATATAAAATATATAGATAATTCAACACTTTTTTCACCGTTCCACTGCTGGGCAAAGACCTCCTTTTAACTCAAAGAAATGAATAGCACAAAATTATTCAATATACTCCATTTATTGGAAGTTTATACGCCATCTAGAAGCGGGTTCAGAGTTGTGTAAGCAATTATTGAAGAACTTTTGGAGATTTGCGCCGTTTTGCACAAACAAAGATTATATTTATATATATATATATATATATATATATATACATATATATATATATGTGTATATATATATATATATATGTGTATATATGTAGGTCGTTAATCTTAATGAAATAGAAGCGAAACTTCGGATATCGTGGTTGTACCTATACTTTTTAAGGGTTTTATATAACATGCCTCATTCGTTCAAAAATTAGTAATCTATTTCTCAAGCACTTACTTTAAATACTAGATCCCAGGTCATATCTGAGTAATTTCAGTAAGAAAAAAATAATTAGAATTTGCTGATTTAATACAAGTCGGACTTTCTGATATCTATATAAATTTCTAAACGACTGTAGTAGTTTATAAAAGCTTGTTTTAAATAGACGTTAAGTTTATTTAAATCATCAATTTCTTGATTAGACTAAATATAAATATTTACATTGAGCGAAAATCAAACCCACTACGCAAATATTAGTAAAGTAGTACACGCTGATTGATTAAAAAAAAAATACAAACGTTTCTGGAAAATCTTTTCATGAATTAAATTATTATTGGTAAAACATATACGTCCTACTTCAAAAAGGCATTAACAAGCTCATATAACTATTTGTGTGGGCGCTAAAATGTTTTATCAATGTTTATAATATTATAAACATTGGATGCTTACTCTATTTCTTTTTACTCGAACTATTTTCTACTGCAATAGATCTATACATACCTATAATAAAATTGTAACTGAGCCGAATCTGTACATTAAATATTTTTGGAAAATCTTATTGAAATAAACGTTATTATCGATACAGAGGCCGAATCTATAGTTTTTAGAATTTTTGTCTGTCTGTCTGTCTGTTATAGCATCACAGAAAAACCACCAAAGGGATTTTGATGAAATTTGATATGGTGATAGCTGTTTATACGGGTTAACATATAGGATACTTTTTACCGCGGGAAAATATCTCATTTCTGAGAAAAAATATAAAAATTGCAATGTAAGAGTATACTAATATGTAAAACCTAAGAATTTGGTTTTTGGTCATCTGAACGCGGGTGGACCCGCGGGCAATTCTAGTTCCTAAATATGATTCTTAGCTTCCGTAGAAATAATTAAAATCTTTTAGTATAATACATTTTATCCTATTATAAGAATGTGATCGAGTTATAGTTCAAAGATCATTGATATTACCTCAACGTGGAAACAATGTATGATATTGTAATAGCGTTTTACCTATCCTTTTTCTAAGAAAGCTAAGAAAATTAATTAAATTAAAAAATTTTAGTTAAATTAGTCACTAAGCTTAGAAGTAAGTGATTTTGTTATTTATGTTATATGTACTTGTAAGTAATGATGAGGGTGACATATTAGTTTTGTGAAAAGAACCCTCAAAAAAATATATTTAGTCCGTCTGTTATATAGTAACGTCTGAACGTAGTAGGGTTTAGTTTATTACATTATATCAGTAAGGCGAATTCCAAAAAATGTGACGCAGTGTCACGAAAGGGATGGGAAGGATAAATGAATAAAAGAAGGATACTAAAATTTAAAGAAATAAAGTGTGGTGTAAATATTCTATGGTACATTTTCAGGAGACAACCCAGGCATGGGTCACAGGCCTCTCATATATGAAGAAGGAGCGCTAATATGGTACGACGCAGACAACAATACACAAATCAAGAAATATGTTGACAATATCAATGAATTTTTAGCTCGTGAGTATTGTTTATTTTTAAGCAAACTTTTCATAGAATAGAAGACTTTCTTAGATTTACGCGAATATTTGACATTTTTCTTTTTTAATATTTTTATGTAACGTTAAATGCACAGACTCGTACTATAATATTCACCTTCTGGTTAAGTTTGTTTATATAATTGTTATATGTTTTTATTTGAATGGTTGTGTACAGATATAATTGGACAACAAATTTAAAATGATATTTTTAGTTTTTAATACGTAGTTGTATTTTTTTAATTTGTTTTCTGTTTCTGTACCTAAATAAATAAAAAAATAACTAAAACTATATTTTCGGACTTTTTCGCGAATATATTTTGATTTTAGGTTTGGTTTGGTTTAGGGAACCAAGAATCAAAATAAATTCGCGAATTAATCCGGATAGATAGTTTTATTTAAAATAGAACAGAATAGAATTAAAATCAGGCCAGAAAGTTAAGAGGATTGTGAAGTGCCGATACGCGGCGAGAGTAGGTATTTTTAAAAATGCTATCTGTTTCATACCGCTTTGCATCCCCCCGGCAGTGAACAACACAAATACAACATACGCAAATTCTCACACACACTATGATAGCAGCAGCCGGTGACGCGCGGGCGCTTGCGGGGGGCGGGGGCGGCGCGACTCGGCGCAAGAGCAATTTCAAAGTTTATCTAATATCTACGGTTTGCGTACAATATACATTCCCTACAAGTTACATCGCACCTTTCTTCATAAAGGAACTGAAATAACTCTAAATTACAATTTTGTGGCGAATATCATTTAAAATTTGACTTGTTTAGATTGATGACTTCAAAAAATCATAGAAAAATAAATATGTGATTTAGATCAATTACAAAAAGCTCGTTCCAAAAGTTGAAAGTTTTAGAATTTTTTGTTGTTTATGTACTAATAGACCCATCGGAATCCTTTTATTTTTAAAATAATTTATTTATTGCAAACCTGAAGTTTTATGATTTTAAAATGTTAGCAGGTATATAAGGAATAGAAATTCATAAAATGACCTGATCATGAATGATGATGATTTACGATTTTTTAACAAATCTATGACTAAATTTTATAAAATATATCAACTTAATTTTTTAAAATATATTTTTAACTAATGAATAAACAAGATTAGATTACGAATGAATTTCATTTCTTTTTGTAATTGTCCTAAAATCATTTTTTTCAGAAAAATCAATAAAATTAACTGCAAAAACTAATAAAATATCGATAAATTCGAAAAAATTATAACGAATAGTATGTGTATATTTATAAATATACATATGCTATTCGTAATATTTTTTTAAAATTATAACGAATATTATAAATTATAACGAATATAAAATTAAAAATATAAATTTTACAAAAATAAAAGTATTATTATTGCTCCTTCTAAACGGTAGTAGTCCAGCAATTAGCAAAAGAAAGCGCGTGACCGGTGGAGGGCGAGGGGTGGAGGGGTGTAGGAAGACCCTTACTCATTTAAACTTATACAAACAAATATCTCGAAAACTTTGAGGTTATCGTAGAAAGTGTTATTTATCAAAGTTGTAGATTTTTACTAGACCTTTTACATTTGTAGAAAATATTTTTCGATAGAACGTCACAGTGAGCCGGAAATTGAAAAAAACTATTTTTCAACGCTTTGCGGTCTCCCATTTCTCGAGTGTAGCTGGACAGATGGGGCATTTTACGAATTTCTAATCCTTATATACCTGCTAACATTTGAAAATTATAAAACTTCAGGTTTTCAATATATTGTTGTCAGATTCCGATTGGACTATAATACTAGTATACATACCAAATTTTAGCTTTCTAGGACTTCAGGAAGTACCCTAAGAGTTTTGATGATCATCAGTGAGTCAGTGACGAAATCGGAGTTTTTTAGATATCAATAAAATCTAATGTAAAAGAGCTATGCAATTGAAACTTTTTATGTTTAGCTAGCATTGCCCGCGGCTCCGCCCGCGTTCATATGACCAAAAACAAATTCGTAGGTTTTACATATTAGTATATTCGTACATTGCAGTTTTGTATTTTTTCTCAGAAATGAGATATTTTCCCGCGATAATCCTATATGTTGATCCGGATACCACCACCAGCTACCACCACACTAAATTTCATCAAAATCTCTCCAGTGGTTTTTCTGTGACGTGGTAACAGACAGACAGACATACAGACAGACAGACAAAAAATCAAAAAACTATAGATTCGGCCTCTGTATCGATAATAATGTTTATTTCAATAATATTTTCCAAAAAATATTTAATGTACAGATACGGCTTAGTTACAATCTATACATACGAGTATAATAAAATTCTAAACTTTGGATTGAATCCTTTCAGTATCGATCGATATATCGATATTACCTTCTCCTCCCTAGGAGATAATAATATCGATAGCACCTTCAACATCACTACAGTCTAAAATATGCCCCTGCCCCCGACCCGTATGGTGCGATAGAGAGAGTTGCAAGTCTTAGACTCAATTACCTACATTTCCTTTTTGAAATATTGTTTCGGGCGATAACGTTTTCACCCCCCTAAACCTTAACGAAATGAGACGATTTTGGTCTCATTAGATTCAGTACACCTTAATCTAGGTCTGTACGTTTTCCTTTTTTTGTAATTCAGTTTAGTTTAATTTAAAAAAATAAAAACGCTGGAGGAAGTTTTTAGGTCAAAAATATAGATATTTAGATGCTAATAACTTCTATCGTACGCAATATTTCAAAAAAATAAAAACGTACGGACCTAGATTTTGATTATATCTACAACATTTCCAAAAATTATGAAAATTAGACTATGTTTAAGGGGGGAAAAACGTTATCGCTTTTTGTATGAAAATTTACAGGTTCACAATCCTCTTAATTTGAATTCATCTAAAAGATGAATGAAGAAGATATAATGAGTTTTAAAAATCTATGTAATATTACTTTATAACTTTAAGGGCTAAAAATAATTTTATCTTTGAGGCTTATTTTCACCAAAATTATTAACTTACCTAATTTAAATAATAACGAGTATCTATATGCTTAGCAACCATACAAGTATAATTTGACGTTGATTAAGAATGTTGTTGCCAGTAGTTTTTTTTGTTAATAAAATCTTATTTGATAATTTATTCTAAATTTATTTTACATTGTACCTTTCCTTACAGCTTATGAGAACAAATCACTACTTATAAACCAAGGAGAGAATCAACGCGAATGTGGTAACACCAAGCCGCCTCGTAACGAAGTCTGTTCTTTTGACGTGAATCTGCTGGGGCCTTGTTCTAAGGAGAACGATTTTGGCTTTAAAAATAGGACCCCATGTATTATTATTAAATTAAATAAGGTAGATTTTCATATATTTAGATTTCCACTACATATGTCTTAAGTATTTTTTTGATGCTTTTAAATGACAAAATATACCTAGTATTATAGGTATTTGTGTTAATATGTTTTTTCCAATCTTGCTAGGATGAAAACTCTGAGATTTTGGTCAGGCAACATGTAAGATTGAGATTCATAGTCCTAACTTTAAGCTAAAATTGTCTTGCAAAGTAAACTTTGCATTCCTAAGTTTAATTTCAATATATAATTTATATAGTAAAGTAAACGTATGATCCTGATGATGATATGATCATATGAATCCGTACTAAAATGGTGCTGAATAAACAACGCCGTAATAGAAAAATAAAATTATAATTGGTGTGACTACTAAAAATCACTTAGAGTAAATAAATTAATGATACATTCTTTTTATTCTGCAATTAAAAGATAATGTTTAGAAGTTATATGTTTCATATTATTGTGTATAGATTTCATAAGCCATATATTATTTTTAATTTATTTTTATCATGTTCCAGTTATTTGATTGGAATCCGGACTTTTTCGACGATCCTGGGGACCTCCCTCACGATATGCCACCTGATATATTACAGTATATTAATTCAACTACTACCTTACAACAAGTAGGTAGACTTTATACGATATTCTCTTAATAAAAGACCTCTACGCAAATTAATTGTCATTTAACGATTACACTGGCACGCGTGAGACACTTAAGTGATCATACGCCAAAATGCCTTGTATCATTTTAGAAAAGAGCTGATATTCTTGCACTGCTGGACCGATTTTAACCAAAAATAGCTCAGAACCACCGCAAGGCCTGGCTTTCAAATGAACTGGCTTTCAAATGAAAAAAAACCGCATCGAAATCGGTCCATCCGTCAGAGAGCTACGATGCCACAGACAGACACACACACATAGACGTCAAACTTATAACACCCCTCTTTTTGCGTCGGGGGTTAAAAATGATTGCTTTTAACTATAATTACCTCAAAATCACTGGTCATATAATAAATATTTCGCGACCGGCGGTTGAATATCAGCATTCCCAAAGAGGGTTGATGTCAGACAGTGGCCGGTCGTAAAAATTTTGCTAAAACCGATCAGCGATATGAAAGACGTATTGCCCTGACCCCAAATAATTTAGGATATGGGCAGGAGGATGATGATGATGATAAAATAAATATGCCACTTTCTTACCCAAATATATAAAATGACTGATAGATCAAAGCTGGAGTCGAGGACCTTAATATCGATCTATTCTATTAAAAAAAAATGTGACAACCAGATTCTAGTCTGAGCATCGCAAGTGTAGCCGATGTCAACTACCTATATGATCATTATTTATTTCTAATAATAGTGGGACTTTCTTACCATTATTATAGTTTTTGTCAGAATCACATAAATAAAAATAAAACACCAAGAACAGTTTTGGTACCGATTCATCTTTAATTTCAGTATCTGAAATATTTTTTTACTAGTGATTTTTTCTGTTTTTTTTTAAACTCCTAGGTCGTAAAATAATTACTAAAGTCTTTAAAAATTTAAAAAGTTTTTTAGAGACGTGCCGGCTTAAAAAATTTACGTTCCAAAAATATCAGTGTAAAGCATTTACTTATGGATTTATCTTGCAGCGTCGCAAAGTTTGGGTGTCTTGTAAAGGGGAGAGGCCAGCTGATGCCGAGGCTTTAGGTCCACTGATGTACTTTCCGTATCCTGGACTTCCTGAGACTTACTTCCCATACGATAACACTCCAGGCTACCTCAGCCCTCTAGTTGCTGTGCAATTAACTAATCCTAAGTGTAAGTTGTTTGAATATTATATAAATGATTTTAAAAAATTGTGTAATAGTATTTTTAAGCTTTCATGGTCATATACAATATTATAAGGATATGCTGTTCAGCAAATGCATCATTTATGATCTATAATCTATATATAATCGGGAACTCTCTAAAGTATTACTTACTTTTGCTCTCGATGTTATTTACGAATCTCAGTGTAACTGTATAACAATTACCAACATATTATATAGCAAAAGCTTAAACAGTGAAGTAACAGCGCCATCTATCATCTAGTCTTTAAGTTACAGCAAAGTGGATAGCATAAAAAACTTGTCCAACAAAAACAAAATATAATTCTAAAATTCATAGCAATCGGTGATGAATTTTCGGAGCTTTGTGGTTTCGTACAAAAGAGCATATTTTACACTAGCCCTAGTGAAAAACAAAAACAAATTATCCCACGGGAACCGTGCATTTTTCTGGATAAAAATAGCCTATATGCTATTCCAGACTATAATCTATTTCTGTGCCAAACTTCATCAAGATCAGTTCAGCTGTTCTGGTGTGATTGAATAATAAACATCCATCAATCCAAATTTTCGCATTTATGTGTATAGTAGTAAGATTTCTATGTTAGGAGATTTTTTATTTTCTTATATCGAATGGTTTTACTGGTTTATCATTTGTAAATATGGATTTTTTTTTAATATTACAATTATTAAGTTTTTAAATAATATGTAATATTTTTCAGTGCATCAGATCATCAACATTCGTTGCAGAGCGTGGGCCCGCAATATAAGATTTACGGAAAGTCTTAAGGAACGTCTTGGTTCTACACACTTTGAGATTATGATTGACTGATTATATTATGCTTGTTCATAAAAACCGACTTTAGATAGCAAAGACTCAGTCGGGCACAAAATTTCTTCAAAAAATCGCGGATCTTTAATTTTTTTTAAAGATTTCCTTAAGTTTCTTTAAAATAATTGTACTTTTTTTTCTCTTTAAGCGATAAGAAGCTGGTTCATATCAGATGTTTTAGAACTAAATATAAGTGCACTTATTTATGTAGATTGTGATGCTGGATTCTATAAAACTGTATACAAAAATATATATTATAAAATATATTACAATATACTGTACAAAATAAATTGTCATTTTTATGGGCCATATAATGCAAAGTAATATATATATATATATATATATATATATATATATATATATATATATATATATATATATATATATATATATATATATTGTATGGCTATCTCGTTTATTTAATAGCTTAGGCTGCATATGTATATTGGGATGGGGTTCGAGATCTAAGTTATGCAAAATAGAGTTATTTGAATTTTCTGTTAACAAACCCTCAATAGCAGCCCGCATTTGAGAAGTGAGTATAACAAACTCGTACCTCAAAAAGTAGCCCTGTGTTGTAAAACCTTGGTCTCTCCTTATCTCCTTCTAGTTTGCTGGTGCATTGGAGCATGAGAGCAAGGAAATAGAGTTAATTAATGCTTGAATACCTTTGTACTACACTATTTCTTATTCAGGTGACAAATCTCATTGAAATTGGTGGCTAAATAGCCAAAATTTCAACACTTGGTACATGACTCATCCGGGAACGGATTTACGTACTCCGGCGAAGGAACCTAATGTGCTATCGAACCCATTTTCTATCGAAGTGCTAATAATGTATGCAGTGCCAATAAAATTCATTCACTTTTCTATACATATAATAAAATACTGAGTCGAATCTGTACATTAAATATTTTTTGGAAAATCTAATTGAAATAGTCATTATTATCGATACAGAGATCGTATCTATAGTTTTTAGAATATATGTCTGTCTGTCTGAGAACGCATTACGAGAAAACCACTGGACAGAATTCACATTTATAAAATTAGTATGGACGCAAGTGTAAGGCAGTAGTAGCCCAGTGGTAACGCGCTGGCTTGGGAAAATGAGCGAAGCGGGTTTAAATCCCGGGTATCGGACCTTTAGATATTTTCATACGCGAATCATTTACAATATGATTACCACTTTTATTACGGTGAAAGATTACATCATAAGAAAACCTGCATGTCAGAGAAAATCTAGCAAGTTTCTGAATGATATGTGAAGTCCACCAATCCGCAGCTAGCTGGTGGTTTATCTCCTGATCCCCCTCGTGTTGATGAGAGGCCTGTGCACAGCAGTGGAAATGCGTGCTGTTTATCCTTGTTTGAGATTTTATTACATAACGATAGTTTATGGGGCGCATGGAGGATAGGCTTATCGAGTCCATTATACATACCTCAGTATACTACAGTATGTGTAAGTACATCGGTGAGTTTGTACAGATACTTTTCTGTTTTTTGTGTATAGCATGTTTTTGTTAGTGGTTACTCGTCAGAAGTTTTCATTTTGGTATATGTAGCGTATCAAGTAGCGCTAACCATTCAAAAAAGTTAATAAGACACGAGGTATATTTTGGACCTGATTCCTGGAATGAATGGTTTTAGCAAGTAAATACACTTGATTGTTAATAATGTCTTAAAAGATTATCTCCAAAGTTTGCAGTTTTTAACATTTGTGGTCACTGTGCTCTTTTCCAGGTATAAATGTAACATAATATAAGCTTCCTTATGATATTATAGATTTTTATACTTATCCTATTTTCATTTTGGACCAATAATAAAACCCATAAAAAGTTCTTCATATAATATGTACTTCTATTTATAGCATACTAATGGGTAGTAACACTGTATCCAACATAAAAGCAACCAGGTCAAGTGTGTGCCGAGCAAATACTTAACTTGACTCTACTAGTTTTATTTGTGATGCGGGGATTCGACAGGCATTCATTTGTATTATTTGGTTTGACGTTTTATATGATCCTAAGCATGATCGCGCGGTTTAAATCCAGCAGTATAGATAATCACTGAAAAGTAAAAATCTAAAAAATATATCATTAAAGTAATTTTTACACCATTTTGTATGTTTATATTCCTCAAGGATTGTACTAGAATTACATTTTGTTTTTCCCTCCTGGTTATAAAATCTAAGATGTTTTTAGGGGCTTTTGGAACCATGAACCATGTATCAGAAATATCCTTTTTTTATGATCCCACTAAAATCGTAGCCTTAACGGTAATGACCAAGTCAAGAAAAATTGTACTTTGCGATATTCCATAAAACTCCTGCTAACGGTTACGTTAGCAACTTTAAGAAAAAAAAAAGAAAAACAAAACGAACACTTAAAATCTTATTCAATTTTTAACGATAGCTACAATATAATAAGTTAAAATACGTAAGACCTCCTTTGTTAACAAATGTCAATATACAAATAAAGTATAGTAAACTAAAGATGATGAATAACAAAATAAATTATAACATTTAAGCCTCTTTTTTATTTCTCAAGTAACCTGATAAGCATGTGTCATAAACAACAGTTTTGTATATATTTAGTGTAAACGGGCCTTTTACACTCAAACTATAGATTACAATAATTCAAACCTTAATCAATTAGATACGTCTGATATTCTAACAATAAGACTCGAACTTGACCATTCCTAAGGGCGTGAAATTTGAGCCCAAGAAAAATTTGTAAATGTATTATTCTATAGCTGAATTTCAAGGATCATCCTATGCGATCTGATATCCCTTCAAACCCAATGAGCTGGCTTTTGAGTTTTGACTTTATCAGAAAGCCTACTCCTCTTTGTCCAGCAGCATTGCCTTTGTAGTAGGTACATAATATAGTGCCTTCTCTCTTCTATTTCTTCGTCTATTCTATTTCTGTAGCGGCAACACTGCAGCTGTCAATGTCAACCACTAACAGTAAGTTTTGTAAGCACAATTTATTCTATCCGTGTTTTTTTTACTTTCGTGTCGTCTGTCTTCTCCATTCTACGTGACATTGGCGAAGTAATCTGTGCTCAACTGACACGCTTTGAAGCTATTAACAAGATGATTCGCCAAATTTGCAACGGTTAGTGGTATTTTTAATCATTATTGTAAATATATCTCATTACTTTCTCTTTTAAAATAAGGTACGTATTATGCTGCAATCCAACCGGACGTTTCAGTTTCTCCGTGGTTCTTTCGATTTCGCCGTGCTGACCGTAAAACCACCTTAATTTTTGTAGGCTCCGTCTAGGCAATCTGTGTTCTCCGGTACATTAGAAATAGCTCTATCTGCGAATGTGGCTTAGATGAGGGTTCGACTGATCATATTATATTCAATTGTCCCAAATTGAAATATTCTCTATATGACATAAATCCTCCTCAAGATCCCCGCCCAGATAACACCAAATGTTTATTAGTGTTTAGCCCATTTATTAAAAAAATCTCGAAAGTACGTGTTTATACTTTCGCCACCGGAACCGGAAAATAATCAATTATGTATTATTGTCTTTAAAAATTATAGCTTATATGTTACTCTGATGTCTATGCTATATTACTGTAAAGTTTCATCAAAATCCTTTCAGTACTTTTTGCGAGGAAGAGTAACAAATATCCATCCATCCTAACTTTCACGTTTCACCTCCAGATAAATTTTTAAGAAATTAATTAAAATTCTAAGAAATCTATTGTTAACTGACACGCCGGCGTGTCCGCGGTCGTGGAGAGAATAATAGTAGGATTAGTTTCAGCGCAAGCTCCAATTACAAGGAACAGGAGCCTAGTTTACAAGTTTTTATTTAACTCGCAATATTTGTTTGTTCGGGTCAAATCTTGCAACTGAATTTTAAAACAGTTATCTCGACTGAGTGACCCGAAATTTTCCATACACAGTTAGCTAAGTGACGTCATTCTAAATCCAATATGGCGGACTCCTAAAAATGGCGGACTATGATTTTTATGCACCCCAATGATATGGATATCAAATGAAAGAGTTTGCTGACAAGAATACGAGTAAAATAAAAACATAAAAATTAAAAATAAATAAATAATAGAAAATAAATATTTTTTAAAACAAACTTTTATTTAAATGCTCTAAAAAAAGAAAATAAACTATAAATTAAATCAAATCCATCAAATTACATTACACAATTTATATAATATAAAAGCTTGTCGCGAGATTTACTTGTGTAGATGCTTCGATCAACAGTACTTGTGTAGTTGATCGAAGTGTAGATGAACAAGAACACAATATGTATGTAATTTGATCTTAACATAAGTAATTCTAAGAAAACAATAATATATTTTTTTATAAAATAATCTGTCAATAATTGTGAAAGTTTGTGAGTATGTATGGATGTTTGTTTCTCTTTTACGCCAGAACGGCTGAACGGATCTGGATGAAATTTAGCACAGAGATAGATTATAGTCTGGAATAACACATAGGTTACTTTTTATCCCGGTAAAATATACGGTTCCCGAGGGATAGATTTGTATTTGTTTTCCTAGAGGCGAACAAGAGCGAAGCGAGGGTGAGCCGCTAGTTTTTTTATAAAATAATATTATATGAATTGTGTAATATAACAAATTGATGGGTTTGATTATGTTATAATTTATTGTTTTTAAAAATGTTATTGTTTTTGATTTCACGGTATTGAACACGACTTGAACGTAGATATCTCTTTAGTTACAAGAAAAAAAACAATGAGCCCAAAGCTTGCTTTATTTATTAAAAAGTTAAATATTTAAATATGTACAAAACAAACGAACACTTGATAATTTCTGAACAAGTCATGTTAGCATTCTATTGCGGCAAGAATTATATGTGCATCGAAATGAAATGAAATTAAACATTATTCAATTAGTTTTATTATAAGCACTTTTGAATCGTCGATTTAATTTAAAGAGCGTCTGTGTAGTCAGTCCCTGAGAAAGCTACCAGCGACTCGAAAAGCAGTTGGCTGACATT